TGAAGATAACTGATATTGTGGCCATCCGGCAGCGATGTGTGGAAGCATGGATCGAGCTTACTCGCGGCCGCGCTCTCAACCAGTACCATCGATTCAGGAAGGCAACCAAAGTTAAAAACGCGGGGGTGAGCTCATCCCACACCTCCTGACACTGCTCTGCTGGATTACGACGATATCAAGTGCACGTAGTCACTCTCCATCCATTGCGGGTAGAAAAGTGTAACTTCCCACCATCTCGTCCTCATTCAGGCAATAGAAATGTAGCTCACCATCAGTTATATTCAGTTGAGTACAGCGCCGTAATGTGTGAAGTGGCGGTGTCGGTATGACCCACTGAAATTCCTTCCTCTGGTTTGGCTTCCACCTGGGATTCTTTTAAGGATGCTGTAACCTGGTTCGGCTTATTCCTCTCAAAACAGAGTTGATTCCTTCGACGATCTCCTCAACCGAGATTTGCCCCTTGGAACACTACCAAATCTATAAGGTCGAGTAACAGATTCGACGAACTCAGAGTGAAGCTAACATTATATTTCTCATCTCGTCCCTCAGTGTGCGCGAGTTTCAACATCCGCATGTTCCTAGTGTGCTTATTTGCTCGATTCATCCTACACGACTCCGTGTAGGCGATATGATAAGCACGCCGTCATCACCACCTATCGCGAAGCAGACCAGCAAACTAGAGAAGCCATCACGAAGCCAACAATACCACGTGTTCGTAGAAGGTTCAACGTTTTACGATCACTCAATTCAAACACGGTATTGCAGTTATTCAACGTGCTCATGGACAGTCATGATCCCAACAAACAAAGGGCGGGTGACAGGACGTGGACTGGAGCGCTGCCAAGGCTTACCCCACCAATGACGCATCCACACTCCGCAACAATTGGAGAGAAAGACTGTTCTGGCTTACGTCCTGTCCCACGCCCTATCATTTGCAGAGATCATGGCTCTACATTGTGACAACCCAAAAGACAGCGGACGGTCACCACATTCTCTTCAAAGAGCGATTCAATCACACTTTGGCGACCATTTTGATGTAACTCGTGAGTATTTGAAGTATGTGAAGGAGCCTGAGAGTCAAATGCAGCACAGCAGTATTTCCAAGCCGATAGTGAAGCTAGCGCACTATTCGGTGCCAATATCCCGTCAAGCACCACCCTCGCTTTATAGATCTATTCCGATGAATATAATCTTTTTCATTAAAGAAGCAGTTCTGTTCGCCATCGCAGCGATTGTCCCATTTTTAAGGAGCAATGGTAAGTGACGAGGGCGCTGCGGCTGTCACGAGCCGAAGGAAAAAATGGGGACACTTCTTGTCATCTCTACTACGTTTCCCATCAGAAGATCCCAAGGCTGCACAAATCTTGAATTAATCGGAGGGCTATTCTAGTACGATCATGTTCACTCCAGTGAGCAGTGTTACTTGCGTGGGTACAATCACTACAGCACTATAAAGGCGTACTAGCTCTGTGGTTTCTTAGAACAAATTTCACGTTCACTAGAGTATACAAATAAATCCCATCAGCTTGCGCTACGAATCCATTACGAGTTTTTACGGACCGTAATAACACGTCATACCAGCCAGCGCGGCACAACGTCTAGGGAAGCACACCCCACCCGTTTTTTCTCTGTAACCTTAGACGTGTAATTATCGTTAATTTCAGGGAAGCCATCGAATAGCAAAAACGCTACAAAACTACGATCCACTGAAGTTGAAACATCACAGCAGAAACGTGCAATTCCCACCTACTTCCATTACATCCACTTATTTCCAACAGCGGTGGTTGCGTCAGACCCTAATGCTACGGTTTAGTACGTCTGGCCCGAGAACCACACCAAACCAAAGCCACAAAGCCTCCACTCCGCGACTACTTCTCCAGAGAAATATAGATAGTCTTGTGAGAAATTTGATCTCCAGATTTAGTGACCCTTAACATACAAAACACCTAACACACTCCTTATAGACACAACCCCCCACGTCAGTATAAACGGGACCGGGATATTGCAGCGGCGTTCAGCATGTCTGCGCCGCAAGTTGCATTTTAGGCGGAGCATGGAGGAATTAGCCTATCCCACGGTCCTGGATCCCCATCCCGCGCATGTTCGGATGGGGAAACCGCTACGCTTCGACAGCTAGGGGCTCGTGGGCCCCGGACATGCCAAGGAAGCATGAGCGTACTTGCGTCTTTAATGAAATTTTAATGCGTGGTGCAATGGAAGACCGTATTCATCAATGCTAGAGCACCGTCTCCTTTGTCGTTTTCACAAAGTAGGATTACCCGATACGCGATTCGAGTCCGACGTGTGGATAATCTATTCAACTCGTGTAAGTTTTGTGCTTCTACGCCCAAACTTCTAAGCCCTAGAGAAGATCCACACCGCTGCGAATGTAGTGACTCTACAAGCTAAAGAGTTGCTGCCGTTGTGTGAAACACAATTACCTTACAATCTTAGAGGTTGTCCCCTTTTCGTATTTCTTCAGTGAGGGCGAGGAGCACTGTGGTCGTGAAAAACCGAAGGTGTGCCACCTGGTGTTGCCTTTTTTAATGTTTATTTTCAGTGGTTTTGCTTGAGTCATCTGAAGACGAGATGCGCTCGCAGTCGACATGTGTGATGTCTTGCATCGTTCTCCGCGAGACCAACCTCCGTCGTCACCTTCGCCTTCTTGTTCTATATTATTTGTCTCTGTTCTCCCGCCTGCGCGATAATTCCTCACATCCCTGAACACTTACTCAACCATAATCTCTCCGATGTTTTTTTTTGGTCCTTTCATCACTTTTTAGTCAACTAGCATCACAGATTTCATAGTTGAGCCCCAAAGCCTACGAATTGTAATGGCGAAATGTGTCTTCCGAACCCCTTTAAATTCTTTTTTTTCTTGCTACTGTTCGGCACCTCCATGACCTGAAACTTGACTTGATTAGTGAATCAACAGAGAAAAGGGTGCGGAAAATCTCGAGTACAAAAAGCAATACATAAACTGTGAGGGATTATGTGATCTCTCCGCCCCGGCTGTCTCTATGAAGTGAGCCACTCACTAGGTAGTCTAAAAAGCAGTGCACTGAATCGGAGCTCCCTCGTATCACAACACCCTTTCTGTCCCCTGAATGAACTAAACCGCCGCGTACTATCATTGTCGTAACGCAGATCGGCCACGTAAACATCCTTTGTGTGCCTTGAAAGACGGCATCACATGGTATCGCCACCGCCAGCAACACAATGACCCCACGCGTGTGTGGCGGGACTTCCCAGGGCGTACGACAAGCCCTGATCACTTTGATCAAATGTTCGATCTAATGCTAAAGCAACTCATTTAGTACAACTTCACTTTACAACTAGCAAGATACATTTCCAACGTTATGCTCTCGCTTTGGAAGAAAATCTGGAATTACCACCCACGTGTTATTCTTTTGGAACAAGACAGTGATAAGTCCCGCGCTGGTGGGCGTGGTCAGCGATGCCGCCTGCCACACGCAGCGGCCCAGCGAGCGTGATAACAAGCTCTCAGCACATTTGATGTTTCGAGGTGTTTTAGAGATTCGCCTTGAAATGGGGTGATATTTGCGTCCACTGAGTCAAAAGCACCCTAGGCGACAAAATACCAGCCAATCTTACCCACGGAGAAATTTCAGTTCAAATTTTAGGTCAAATTTGATGGCCGGGCAGTTAACGGTTATTAGGTTTTTAGGTATTGATATTACCACAAAGCAACATTTTGACACCATGACGAGCCGAACTGCGACTCCACTCTCTCCTTTTTTGGTGCCCGTGCAACAAGTAGAAAAAAATGTCGAGGCCGAATTTCTGAGAAACTTACCCGTGATAACTGAATCTAACAATACCGCATTGTGCTGAGACCATACCTCCCCCTCTTTCGCGACACTATCTATTCCTAATCCATCTTTATAAGATTATTAGGCACTATTTACCCTTTACTGCCCCAATCTTCTAAAAACAGGCCAGTTTCTGACCGACTTTTTTCTGCGTTGGTAGAACTGGCTAAAAATTTGTTTCCCTGAGATAGTTTGACCTCCTGAACACGAATATCACATCCGCTCGACCCGATACCTCCTGGCGCCCGCGCTACAGGCGCTGGCGCCAGAATACCCCAAGTCACCGGCGCCTGTGGCGCGGGCGCCAGGAAGTTTCGGGCTAAGCGAATGTGATATTCGTATTCAGGAGGTCAAACTACCCCAGGAGACAACATTTGAGCCAAATCTGTCCACGGAGAAAAAAGTCGGTCAAAAACTGGCTCAATTCTGGATGGTTGGGGCAGTAAAGGGTAAATAGTGCCGATTAATATATTATCGATTATTCCGAATCCCTTTCTTACAACAATCCCGTTCTTATGAGCCATTAGAAGGTTAAACAGAAAAAGAGGAACAATTTCCACTCTCGACCTTGAAATCTGAAGATTTTCTGAAAGAGCGTAACACGGTACGATTAGTGCACGGCTGGTCATAGCTTCGCTGAAGCGAAAACACAAATGTGACCTCGCAAAGTTACACAAAAACTTGCGTCCTCGCGCTTTTTTCTGCCCGAAATCAAACTTCGAACACGCCATTAATAACAAATCGCCTGCTGAAACGATGAGAACCGTTATCCTTGAGATTTCCAGTGAAGCGTCGAAAACCGAGGGAACCAGCCGAATGTCACGAAGATTCTTCAACGCACTGAAAGCACAACGTAGAAGTCAGCGATGAGAAATGCAGATCCATAACATCATCTAAATTAAGTATTAAGAATGATTTAAACAATACAATATTGTTTAGCAAGGCAAGAAACTTCATTAACACGCACAAGCCTCAAAAAATGTACAAATGGCGTAATTATCAATCAATAAAGCATAAGTGACAATGAAACCGTCGTTCCACTGGTAATAATACACACGGAAGGAAATCTTGACAAAACTCGTGTTAAAAATAATACCGTAACTCTAAAGAACTATTCAGAATATAAACTCACTGAAAAGCTAGCAAAAACTAGGAACAGTAGGGAAACTAGATGACACAATGACAAAAATTGCTGATTTCCCAGAGGTAATAGGGAAAATGGCAGATGAAACGTATGCGAATAACCGTATTGGGCCATTCGTCAGTCTCCTTTGAACAGTGCCCAAACACGGGGAGACTCCACATAACCTGAAACAAGCAATAGATCACTGACGATAGCCGAGAGTTATTACTAAGAAGTACCAAAGAGTGTAAAAGGGACCAAGCGGTATAAACCAATCTAAAACAATATTACAACTAGATACATAATATTCTTTATTCTTTTCAACGCCCAAGATAAGCAGAATTAGTGACGCATTGAAATGCAAAATCACAGGAAATTTTCTTTCAGTTTTCATGTCCGCAATCTTCCGCCGTTTTCCTAACGGGACCTCCAAATGCCGTATTCCGACTTCAACTTGTGTAATGCATAAAGCTAAAGCTGAAAATGTCAGAATACCTTCAAAATCAATGTATCAAATGATTAACATCTCCACCCGAAACCAAAGCTTAATAAACGTGCTGTGTATTGCAGTTCGATAGCAACAAAGGCGCATAATTGCAATGCTCTATGCGTAAATGAGCTATCGGCAGAGGGAAAGCTAAGGGACCAAAACAGCAATAAAGTAATGTTTTGTATACCAGTATACGTGTCGCTAGTGAGATAGCCACCATGTTTCGACAATGTGTGATTTTTGATTTCAGCCCATTCTCCAAAGCTTTCCTGGCAAATGGAGCAGAGATATCCATGATCCTCCTGGAAAAATCAATATCATGCTGTATGATGTGATATTTGCATACGCTAATCACCTGACTTCGTACCAAGTTTGGCCGTGTTACGACAAACCTGCGATCACACTAGATTCATTTTCATCACAGTTCTCATCTTTGGGCTGCGTTCATACAATGCGCTTCGAGCGTACGCCACCGTTTTGGGCGTTTCGCGGACCGTTTTGAACTTTTTGTGGGCGGTCGCTAAATATGCTGGTGTACGCGCAAAACCCTACACAACGTACGACCGCAGCCTTGTACCTTCACGGTCTGCAGCACGTTGAGTAGTAGTTAAACCTTATCAATGTGCCCCGAGGAAGAAAACCTGGCGAGTCAAACGCAAGAACTATCATATCTGTCTCAGCTCCACATCGTTGGGCGCCTATGGGGAATTTGCTCCCACGAAGACATCGAATAAGTGATTAATGTCTACGCGGCTATTCACTAACCTACTGAAGGTATACCGGTGGGGATTCCGCAAGGAAGAAGGAAAACGAACGACGGCTTTTTTCTTACGATATGACTTACAAACGGGGCAAATGAATGCCTGCGACAAAATTTTAGCTTTCTTTCATCGCCTATCGCTCTATATCCATCATGTACGCCTGCAGCAACGTTCAGCTCAGCTACACGACAATCTTTAAGTGGAGCTCTGAGAACCAGCGACGGCAACGCAATTCTTTTACTGCATAAGAAACAAGTTACGATTTGTAACAAATTTAGAAATAGAAAGTTAGCCCATCAACTGGCCAAACCGAACCGAAAGCATTTCTTAAAGACAGCTCCCGCGATAAAAGTGTCAAGGATAATTGCTGATCAATTATGAAACAGTAGCTGATAAGTAATTCCTCAATGAAGGAAAAAAGAAACAAGAGCCCTCAAGAACACCATAAACAAAATCGCGACCTGACAGTCACACCTCCCTGCGGTCTCTGTGCAAGCCCTGGCTCACAAATCACTTTGTCACATCTCCCAGTAGTGGATATCATCGAATGCGAAGAAAAGAAAACAAAAAACAACAGAAACATAGAGGAAAAACTCTTGAAAAGAAAAGGAAACATTTAAAAAGCCGGCGTCCGAACTTAGGGTTACGGTAGCGAGCATGTTTTAGTGTAGTGAAGTGCGTCGAGCTTTTGCACCACAGAAATTGCATCATTCGTGATTTTTACGCGTTTTACCTTACGAGATGGGTTGCTGTTGACTGTACGTGCTCCCAATGAATAAAATGTGATGAAGGAGAGCAGAATTATTTACGAGCACGAGCGCGGTCAGCAAAAAATACATGCAGTTCCGATTAATGACTGCCGTCCCAACAAGGAACAGCGGCTCTCCGTCAGAGGGCAGCTAGCTAGTGAGGCGGTCCAACTGAGCAGGCGTTAGAACTAGAACTTTGAGCGGTTCTAGCTCGCTCTCGCTCGCTGAGGAGTCGCGAGAGTGAGATAGTATCTAGCTTGGGGGCTGAACTACCTGCCCAAGGAAGGACGACCATGTACTACTTGAGCGCGGGGGCTGTCTTTAAATCAAACCACTAAGAACGCGTCTGGCTAGAAAACGCCTTGAGCAACAGCGTACGAAAGCGATGGGAAGTCGACATTTAGCGTCTCGTCTTCCACTATGTTAGCATTTGAGAACAAAATCACACACCTTTTTATGGTTTTCCATTTGAATATACCGATTACACCGAAAATCGCAAATTTTGCACTCGAACTTTATTATACCCGTATGAATTCGCTCGTGCGTCATTACCTGCAAAAGTTAAGAATTTTCGTAGCGACGGACAAACTGCAATGCTTGGATTGATCAAACAGGAAGTAAAACTCAGCTTACCGAAACTTCGCTTGTAAAGAGTTCCTCGCAAAAGTGACATGCATATGTTTTTACAAATATGTGAGACATCTTCTTGTGTTTTCTGAAAACTTACGAGTCTCACTCAAAGGTTCATCATTCAATTTATTCAGAATATTGTCGTTTCACACAAACCGAACCTCAACTTTCTTGGAGTCAAAAACTTCTGATTGCACTCATTGCATTTGAAGCCCGAATTCGCGCCACGATGGAACTTAGCACGATGATTGTTGAAGCGTTGCTCAGTGCACATATTTTGAATAGGGGAGCATTCGAAACACAACCACGTCTTAAAGAGAGCTCTGAGACCAGTCATGAAAGTTAAAGACAACTGAGACAGATAAAATGATTTGTCTCTCTATGGCCACTAAGGTTTGTCATGGTAGAAAATGACGGAAGGACACGCGGTACCTACCGATCTGTGATATTAAACACCCCCCCCCCGAATATTATCAAGTGTTACTCCCTCAGACCAAGTACACTTTGCGATTTCCGGAGGAACGGCTACTCCATTCTCATGAAACCAAAGGGGTGATCCCTTAATAACTTGCTAATGACTAGCACTGGAAGAAAAGAGCAATCTTCCTACAATGTCTGTAAGTGACAGGAGGCCACACAGAAAAGAAGAAAACCTGCAAGTGAAAAGGGAAAACACTGCAGGTACTACAACATCAACGCAACACTTACCATATCACATTCATGTTCCGGGAGATGGCTCTTGTCTGGGAGACACTTGAAGCAATCAAGACACTGCACAAACTCGACGGACTCTGGATGCTTCTTAACGAAGTGCTTTTTCAGGGACACTTCATTTCTGAACCTTTTGTCACAAAACGGACACTGCGGTGAAACCTAAAATAACATAAATGGGTGAGCAAACCGTAAACCTCAAACAAAGCCACTGAGCAGAATTTCAGACTTTTTTACGGAAGGACCGCTTTGGTTGACGAAGATAGCCATTTGCATCAAACCTTGCCACAATGCCATTTGAGAGCTCACCAGGCAGAGGAATACTGAAAAAAAATCGTAAAGAAAGATAAAACGATGAAGTCTTCGCCGTTAATCAATCCCTTGTGGGATGCGGCACGCATTCTACTTCCATTCAGAATCGTAGTGGCTTATTGAATGCGATGTGGCCTATGCTGAATTGCGGGAGCCTGTCGATGTACAAGTTTGTGTTCGCGAATCTGGTACCAATTTACTGTATCTAACAATAACAGCTTAAAACTTGTATCCGGAGTGTTGGTCTGGGCGGTGTCCTCCCAGAACAATCTGACACCAATTAACTGTGTCCGGAGTGTTAGCCTCGGCGGTAGCCAAGAAAGAGGAAAGCAGTCTTGATCGCAGCTATATATTTCAGAGCAGTAATCTAAGGTGGAAATGGTGCAGAGGAAAGTGGCACTCTTTCCGTGCGCAAGGCCCTGAGATAAGATCCCTGATGCGCTTCCATATGATGGGAAAACCATGCTTTCTACTTTCCGAACACGGTAAGATGGAACCAGATCTGTTTGCGAGGAGAAAACTTTGATCCGTAGATCGGCTGTTCTCAGCAAGTCATAGTATAGGCTCTATAACCTACGAAATTTCCCTAGGATGCCAAATGGAAGTAGAATGGAGTAGAAAGGGATTGACAAGTGGCCAAAGATTTATATTTTTCTTTTCATCAGTCCTTACCTTTTCACATCAACTACATAACTGTTCGATTCTATTTCAGACTGAGGAGGAATGAAGCCGCCCGACGTTAACTCGTCGATTCGATTTCGCTCCAACTCTTCCTCCCTGGAAAGGGAACAATCAAGCTACTCACTTCAACTTTAATCAACATGCATCTTGTGAAATGCAACAGAGATGAACTGTACCTTTGCCGCTGAACTTCAAGTTCCTCTTGGAAAATATATTCGAGATACTCTACATGATGCCTGTCGCGTAAGTGACGCTCCAGAAGATTTCTTTGTCCAAAACGGTTGTTGCAGACCTTGAAAAATAACCGTTTCCAATTTTCTTTCAACCTTAGCAATCGGAGTCATACCTTGCAACGAATCATTTTGCTGCGCACTAGTTTGCGTATTTCTGCTGGATCCGTTGGCCTAGGAGGAAGCGGTGGCAAGTCCAGATCTATTGTAGATTGCACTGAAGCAGGTATCACAACAGCACCTCCACCTAGAACAATTACTCCTCTGAATAACAGTTGACGATTCTATCAAAATGAATCAAATAATCAGAACAAACAGCTCACCAAAACTGCTCCTAATTCGTCGTCGTGGCTGAGAAATTGGGACTCCTCTGGCATCCAGGACGATCCTCTCCTTTGCAGGACTGTCATGTTTACCATCACCTCGCAGTAACGACAGCGTTCTGCCTACACCATCAAGGGCTGCACGCTGAACATCCACGATTTCATGCGTTAAACAGCAGTGGAATTTAGACGCTCCATGACCTTTCTGGCTTATTTCAAAATTCTACGCTATTGTTGCTTTCGGGTTAACAGAACCTCGACCTCATGCAGTAATGAAAGAACTTCTCACGATCGGGAAGGTAAACATCTTTCAAGGACTGCTCCTCTCGCACCACTTCACGAAAAAACCCATGATCCACACAGTCGAAACTTCATCGAAGCGAAATAAAGCAAAGAGTCACAGTTGGTGCAGTGCACGACTTCCCTGGAGATCTCCTATCTCAGGAACTTACCACTACTCAAAAACTACAGCTCTGGCAAAATGACACTAGCTTTCAGATTACTTTTTTAACAAAGACACGTATGTGCACAACAGGTGATAGAGATCAGCGATCAGGACACCGTATCCTTGGGAGAACGCCATCAGGGGGAGGGTCGTATGTGGTCGCTGAGGATAGCCCTTCATTAGTTGTTGGCACCGCAGAACAACCAATAGTCGAAATTAGTGGTTAACTGATAATGGCCTCCCCCTCCTTTTCGCTCGATGGTAGTTTTTTTGAGAAAACCCGAAAATTTTTCAAAATTTCTGGGATGGCGGGTTGGATAGAGGAGTCCTGGATTTTTTTTTCTGGGGGGTGGGGGAGGAGCCGTACTGACACCTCCTGTTCGCTTTCCTGATGCTGTATCCTGCCACCAATTCAGTCGCGCGACTCGAACAAGTAAATCTCGAAGTATGAACGCATACTGAGCGCCTTTTCACCGAACTCGCAAATTCCGCAGATCAGTACTCGGGTCTAAGTTACGTCACAGAAGTATAGGAGAACCGAAAGAAAGTGTAGGTACCGATGGAAGAATGGCGGAGTCGACATCTCCACCTAATCCTCGCGGCTTCCCTCCTCTCCTAGCGAGAGACCGTAGTCAGCCGATTCCAATAAAAACTTCTGGCGATCAATCTTCTATCTACTCATCTCCTATTTTTCTAAACTGCCAGACACTTTCCCGAGGAGAGCATTCTGCCGGCTAACAGATTCTCCCCTTTCACAAACTATGAACCCACCTTTACCGCAGCCTAAGAGGTGTGAAAAGTCAGGAATGTCTACTAAGACGTGGTTTTCAACCAGCCAACCAGCCATTTAATCATTTAAGAAGCACTGCCATAAAATTGTTTACGTGACAACTAAATCTTTTGGTGGGGGTCCTGCCACGATAGGCCAGAGCGCAGAGCAATAAGGGACTGCTACTGCCAAGGCATCGTGAGGTACAAAAAACACGATGCGAGCCAGGAGATGAGTTTTTCGAGGGGAGGGGACACCGGGGTGGATGAGCCACTTAGTATGCGTGAAAAGTTGGAATGTGAAAGGTAAAAAAGCCATAAATCGCCATTCAGGAAAGAGAGCGCAGAGAAAATCAGAAAGTTGGCGCCATTGAGTTGAAGGAATTGAGTTTTAGTTGTCCGTAGACCCATAAGATTCACACTACCTCAGGTTCCTCACGAGCCAGTCGCCTCTCTTCATCTCTCTTCTCTTTGGCCTGTTGAACCATCTCAGCCAATTTAGCCAACTCATCTTGACACCGCGTTAAGCTCTGAGTTTTCTGGAAAAAATATGGTACAAAATGCGAGCATATGATTACAAAAAGCAATGAGAATAATATACATCTGCGCTGTCATCATTAGTTGTCTGGTCCATGTCAACTCCAGGAAGGTCATCAACAGAAATTACTGAAACTGAACCAATAAATTCAACATGGCTGTTAATGCTTGAAATTAGGTATTTTAGTGCTACCGTCCTATTTATTTAGTTGAATTAATGCAACGAATTATCACGGTGCTTTGAAGAAGTAAGTTCACCACATGACAATATAGAGGAAAAAAAAACGAAAACAAAAAATAACGCGAAAAATCACTAGTGAAAAATAGATGCAATTGTATTATAAACGTAAATGAAATGTAAATATGAATATAAACATATGAAGGGCAGCTCAGGTGATAATTACCAGCATGGAGAGGGGGGGGGGGGACAGTTGGAATGGCGGTGATAGCGGAAGGCAAGGGGATGAACTTTACAAACCGCTGGTGGGGATGCAGATCTGAATAGCAACTTAATAAGTCCATCCTGCTGTTTATATGAGGCGCCACTATATTAGCTGAACGGGTCCGCGGAGAGAATGAAAGTCCAGCGCCACAAGGATAAGACCGTGTTCAGACCTCGCGATCGGATCGCTCGACTGGATCGGGTTAAGATCCAATCACTCGAGCGATCCGCTCTGAAGTCCGAACGCGGTCTAAGGAACGGGAAGGATCAACATATTTCCTATATTACTGAAAGTGCACATTTTTTGTTCTGGGCACACCTGTGAATTGACTGCCAATGAAGTATACCACTCACAAGCAGATGGATCGGTCTGAGAATTATTCCCAGGTATGATACTCGCATCAGGCACATCTGTAGGAGAAATTGACGAGTTTGCACCAAGTGATGCTACGGAGGCAGTGGATGCAGATGGACATGCTAAACAATAACTATTATAAGCGCAGTAACCGTCCAAGACTAGAAAACTACGACCAAAGATATAGAAAATATACATTGAAGGTTATTACACTACAATACAGCAAATTGAACTCACGAGAAATCTGAGACAGAACATCTAAATTGAGAATCGGAGGCGGTGGGTTATTCCTGTAGAACTCGAAATCCATCATCTTGCCCATGAAAGGCGACGATGTTTACTCGAGCTAAACGTCAGGATCAAATTGAAGAAAAACACCATGTGGTTTTTTAAAATGCGATCCTCGAGAAATCAAAATTGCGTGAGTTCATCACACTGAACGTCGCCACAAGGGGTTTGATAGTGTGTGCGACAATCTAAACCTTGTCAAATCTGTAGAACGAACATTCTGAAAACAACAATTCAAAATCGCAGTAAGTGTAGCAGCGCTTTCATACTTAACGATCCGATCGCTCGGACACGCGAGCGATCAAATCGCGAGGTATGAACGCGCTCATACATAATTCACGATCCGGTCGAGTTCCTAGAAAGTCTGGGAGCGCGTTCAGACTTCGCGATCGTGCGATTAGATCGCACAATCCGATCGAGCGATCCTAGTCGAGCGATCCAATCGCACAATTGAAGTCTGAACGCGCTCCGAAGGCCCCACTGCTACACTCTAGTTGAGCTAGCATTAGGGCTTCAAGGGTGGGGTCCCCTTGTCTATCTACTGGAGAGGGCGAATTGTCGTGTTCTCGCAAGAAAATACCCGCCCTAATTTGTCTTAATATCTCTAGCCTACGTGCTCCTCCCCGGGTTTTCTTTGTTCCTTTTCCATCCGTTTTTTCTTTTTCGATTCTGCCACAAGCTATGCATGTTGTCCTCTAGAGTTTTTTTTTGTGTTGTGCGGGCCACCATTGGGGTCAGTAGAAAGAAATGTCCTAGCGAACGCTTGATAATCCAGCGTCATCAGTTTTAAGACTGAAGTGGGGTTTATGCAGGATTTGACACACGCAATACCACTGCGGTAGGCTGGCGGGAAAGTAGTCGTAGTTCGAAGCATTTCGCTTGCAAATCCAGAACTGGAAGAAACAAATTCATTCGAATAGGAACTGTAAGGAAGAATGGAGTACAGATAACAGTAAACAAGTTTCCGAATCCCATCGATCAGACATCTGGAGTTCCAGAAGCTGATACAGCTTGTTCGACCCTTTTTTTATTTCTGAACCTATCCTTCAGGAAACGACGAAACGGAAGGCTATCGCAGAGGGACACCACAAAGCAGCGCTTTCTGCGCTCCTCTTCAAACCAACACTTAATTTATGAGCTGCGCATTTTCTGCTACTCTATCCTTCGATGCGGTCTAAATTTAACCCTGGTGGGCAAAAAAATAGTTTCTTTGCAAGTTGGTGAAGAGAAAATAGTGGTTCCCTTTCTCAACTACGTTAGCACCCACAGGTACTTGGAAACTGGAAAGCGGAGGAAAACTGGCGAGGAGGCCGGGGAAATCCATAGCGGGATGGCTCAATTTCCTAGACAGTTTTAGCACAAGTGTCCGGAAATGTTCTTCATCTATTTTTTAAACACGACATTTCCACTCAAAATTGAAATGGTCATAAGGTATAAATGAAAAAGAAGTGCATATATCAATCACAAGCTAAACGCCTGAATCGCTGACGCAATACATCGGTTTCGATTACCGATCCCAACCTAATAATTGTCAGCCTTTAAAAGAGCGTCTAAGATGGTGTTCTTGTCGAATAACGGGCATTGTGATCAACGTGAAGCTTGATGCAACAAAATATTCGCTTAAAGTTTGAGAATCACATAGCAAACCAGCTGACGCAAATGTACGCAACCACGGAGGTGAATTTGCACCCGTGCAGCAACCAAACACTACAAAAGGGCAATTTCATCCTCTCTTCGAGAGTAAGAATCATATTTGCGAACGCAAAACTAAAACTTTGCAAAGATGTAGAAGATCAAGAAGTTTCGGGTCACCATTTGCGCGATTTCGAAAGTTGCGGGAATCCACTGTTACTTTTACGTTTGAGAAGGCCGAACTTCGCTCCAGGAGCACTAGCTACACACAGAATTCGCACAACGAATCGCACTGCGTTTATTTGTTTCATTTTCCGGTGCTAGAACGTTTGTGTATTTGAGAGAAATGCTGACGTCAGTGAAATATCAACTTGAAAAGGCCCGAAATGAAATGTGTATTAGTACGAGCGCAATTACGTGCTCTAAATCCCATGGTTCAGGTCCGAGACCTCTTCCAAGATAGTTGTTACCATTTAAAGCAATTTGTAGCGATAAATAGTGATTGGTGGTGATGGCTTCTACATCTAATGCGAAAGACTAGTCACTTCCCTGCAAAAAACAACCTATGAAATGGATCCACCTACGATAACCTCTCAAGGTCAGTGGAGTCTTTGTCCAGTCCGCGCCGAAATTTGCGCGAAACCTCTCAAAATTGCGCTATCTGTCCATTTATTCGTACTTCTGCATGTCCTGTAGAAATTACCTAGGCAATGTGAGGATGAGATGAGTTCCCTTGAATTTAGCAGTTTCAGTCCAACTGTATATCTGCTATTTGTGTGATGTGTTGACACTCTCAGATTAAGTAGCCGCATTTGCTGTTTCTTATTTTAGAGCGAGGATTTAGGCTCTACTCCAAGACGGTGAGGCCCTTGGTGCAATAGTTCGTCCAATTACGGTGTCACAATTTTACACAAGCAGCTCTTCAAAGCCGCGAAATGTCACGAGCTTGATTTTTTTTGTTCTTTCTCGAGTGTTTTCTTTTTTCTTGGACGGCATTTGGTGCAAGAGGGTACGAAGAACGGTTACCATTGGAGTTTTTACACCTGTTTGGTTTGCAATAGTTTCTTTTGCCAGATCATGTCAGGGTCTCTTTTTGGTGAGATCTGCAAACTCTTGTAAAGCTGCTCTAGTTGCAGGAATTTACAGGTCTTCACAAGGTGTTTGTGCCCCTACCAAGCCCAAACGCCTCAGCCCCATTTTTGCTTACCATTCCTACTTTCACAACTAGACTCATTGTTCATAACTAGTGGCTATTCCCTCTGTTATTTGTTTGTCATATGAACAGTGAATGAGTTTGTAATTTGTTTCCGAAAGTGGGTCAGAACGGCAGACTACGTGCATGACGTCCATTTGTCACTCTGTGTACTGGAAGTTATCCATTCGGAGTAACCGGATTTGGCTATTTATGGTGTACTGTAGATATAACTGGTTCAAGTTTAGGTGCAACACAATAGCAAATCTAAACGACGCAGTTCAGGCAATTTGCGAGCTCCTGTGAAGCTGCAGAATGCCACGAGTTCCACTTCTGAATCGTTTTTTTTTGCACCAAGGAACTGGTTCATAGACCCTGAAGCTAGGGCACGTCCTGTCGTTGAAAGACAACGTTCCAAAATACGCCCCCCCCCTCCCTAAAAATATTCCTCTGTGGTGCGCCCCACCCCCTCCGCCATTCTTCCTAACTTCTTTCTACACTCACAACTTTACGAGTTTTTCCAAAAGTTCTCATCGAGCTGGCGGGCATGTGCAGCGCCAAGGAAAAGGGGAAAACCAAGAAAAACAGCCGAAACATAGTTCTTAAACTTCTCTCAAATGCGAATACAACCCACCCCTCGCTCCACCGTCCAGAACGAACCAACTAGCTAAGGATCTCTAAAGTACAACGTGCCCTGCCCAGGGCTCCTTCCAGTGCGGTTGGGCAAGAGTTCTCATCCCTGACGCAGGCACCGTTATCTCGTTCCAGCTGTGAAAACGTATGAAACGTATGAAAAAACCATTAAGTTTTTTGGAGCTGAAAGCCATTTCGTGGCTGAAAGAAATGATCTAGCAAGGCACGTGCCATTTGGGACTTTGCAAAATGGCCCTCTAACTGAGATTGACCATGAGCCCCACTCCGCCTCTCATAGAACATCCGAAGTGCTCAAAACGTTCTCTGATCAGTCATCATCAGACTTTTCGATATATGACATCGATAAAGATCGTTCACACTTGCTGTAAAGACTCCTAGGCATGGACGATTAGATTCGGCAGCTCTCAGCTTCGCGATGCGCTCCGCTGTCTAACTGCGGCGTCAATGCAGCTACCATCACCAGTAGCGCTCCAGTGTACAGCGGAACTCATCCGAATCGCAGTACCGCGGCGGCTACTGTTTGAGAGGTCTATGGCCAGCAGCTTAACTTCGCGAGCGGCGCTGGCGACTGCGCCCGGTTCGGAAGCATGGAGCAAACCAGCACGGCGACAAAAACATGTGCATAGATCGCGTACGCAACGCGCGACCGAAGCGCTGCTGTCGCAAAGTCTGAACGCTGCCTATGGGACAATAGGAGGGTACACGTTGCATGATCACACTGTCTGCGCCCTCCTGTTCTTCTGTACTCCACCATAACACTTGCGTCTGGCGCTGATCGATACCAAATAGTTGTCATTAGGCAACGCCTTGCCTCGTTTTCTTCCATACTTTCCAAAGATCAGTTCGGGCCCGGGTCGTTACTTGTCTGTGGCTGCGTTTCCGTCCAATGCATTAGAGCGCTGTTGCAAATGTAGCGCGTCGACGCGCATCATCGCTAAGTCTGAAGGCTGCATACAATGCAGCGTACCGAGACACAGGCCAAGCAATTGTATTGACCGATAGAAACAACACTGAATGATTGGAATGTCATTCCTACCCAGAATGTGTTACGCCTATGTGGTTCTGCTTCAATACTAGGGGCGTTCAGTCTGCTGAAGAAATAAATGTGGCAGCCCTGGATGATCCTCCGAGATGACCAGCTGAATCGGGTCCATGATCCTATCCGCCTTCCACAGAGATTAAGCATCTCGTGATCAGTCAACTCAATATCGCACTTAGCAGTGTTTGGATGAACTTCGTTTTCTATTGGCATAGATGTTGTCCGGTGAACCATTTGTATCTCTCCCTAGCTCCCCCCCCTCATTTTTTTGTCACCATTTTGTTCATTTCTAGTCTCAGCCGTTTTTGATGTTTTATTGAGCTAGTTGTGCAGTTCAATGAGGAATTCCGTATTAATACCTTCTATTTCTTTCTTTCACGAGTTCAACTGTTATGCGTTTTACCTCGCCCGTCGAAGTCAGCGCATTAATGCGCGGCAGTCGTATTCGATGGCGCGAGTGAAAGAAAACCTTCGGATTATGCCGGTGTACGCCCCATTTAGAAATCTCGGCGCGCAA